GCTGGTCAGCCCCCTAGCCAGCCTTGCCCAGTCTCCTTCTGACCCAGCCAAGCTGCTAGCTTCACGTGCCTCTAGACTACCCCCGTTTTGAACTTTCTGGGCCTGAGGAAGAGCTAGGAGGGTTCCCCCCTCACCCTATGGGTGGTGCCTGGCCGTGGTGGATGAGCGTCTCCCCACCCTTCCCGCACAGTGTGGCTGGCGACCCAAAACCACAGTACCCTGGTGACAGAGCGCAGCGCCGTGCCCTTCCTGCCCGTGAACCCCGAGTACTCGGCCACACGGAATCAGGTGAGGGGCTGGCTGGGCTTGAGGCGGTCTCCTGCTGGAGTCATCACTTTCCTGAGCTCTGCTGCCCCTGCTGCTGGCTGGGCTGGGTGCTGGGCCAGGTCTCCACCCTCACCAAGGCCTCCCTCAGGGACCAGCTGCTGTGGGATTTGGGTATGAGGAGGAGGCTGTTCTTCTGAACACACTGTGAACAGCCTCTGAGGGGTGTTCCAGCCCCTTCACAAGAGCCCCGGCTTGCCACCTGGAAGCTGTATCATACCCCACCCCCCGTCCTAAGGGTGGCCTGTGGAGGACGTGGAGCCAGCTGCCGTGGAGTCAGATCCTGCTTTGTCCCCACCCTGTGTCTGCCACACGGGGCCCCTTGATGTCATCTGCCCCTTTCTGCCTCACAGGGGAGACAGAAGTTAGCCCGCTTTAATGCCCGAGAGTTTGCCACCTTGATCATTGACATTCTCAGTGAGGCCAAGCGGAGACAGCAGGGCAAGAGCCTGAGCAGCCCGACAGGTGCGAGGGCTGCATGGGGAGGCTGCGGCTCCGGCCAGGATGTTCTCTGGCTGCCTGGGGTGGGAGTGGCATGATCCCTGAGTGACAGCCGTGTGCCCTCAGACAACCTTGAGATCTCCGCACGGAGCCAGAGTGACCTTGACGACCAGCATGACTACGACAGCGTGGCCTCCGATGAGGACACAGACCAGGAGCCCCTGCGCAGCGTGGGCACCACTCGGAACAACCGGGCCCGGGTCTGAGCGCTGCCCTTCCCCAGCCCCCTCCTGTCAGCCCCACCCCGTGACCCCCTCCAGTGTGGCCTGACGCCATCTCTTTGTACCCCAGGAGGCCTCGGGAACAAGTGGGCTGGTCACAGCCGCAGTGGAAGCCCCCGAGGGCACTGGCTGCCTGCGATGGCTGACCCGCTTGTGTCTCACCCTGCAGAGCATAGATTCCTCAGACCTGTCTGACGGGGCCGTGACGCTGCAGGAGTACCTGGAGCTGAAGAAGGCCCTGGCTACCTCCGAGGCAAAGGTGCAGCAGCTCATGAAGGTCAATAGCAGCTTGAGTGATGAGCTGCGGAGGCTGCAGAGGGAGGTGAGGGCTGCAGCCTCGGTGGGAGCAGGGGGTGGGAGTAGGGGGTGGGAGCAGGGGGTGGGAGCAGGGGGTGGGAGGGTCTCTGCCTGAACCAGAGTCTCTGACACCATTCTGTGCGGCTACTCACAGATCCACAAGCTACAGGCAGAGAACCTGCAGATTCGGCAGCAGTCGGGGCCTGTGCCCACACCCCCTCTCCCCAGCGAAAGGGCAGAGCACTCCACCGTGGGTCCTGGCGGGAGCACCCACCGCAGGGACCGCCAGGCCTTCTCCATGTATGAGCCGGGCTCCGCCCTAAAGCCTTTTGGGGCCCCACCTGGTGACGAGCTCACCACAAGGCTGCAGCCTTTCCACAGCACTGTAAGCACCTGTGGGTCTCACGGGATGGGGGAAATGGGGTTGGAGGCCACTTTAGGGCCTGCCGTGACATCCACTGTGCCCCGTCCCCAGGAGCTGGAGGATGACGCCATCTATTCAGTGCACGTACCCACTGGCCTTTACCGGGTAAGCAAGGCCTGGGGAAGGTGGGTCCCTTTCCACAAATAGGTTCGTGCCCCCGCTGGGTGTTGGGCTGGTGCCGGAAGCTGGGCATAGAGGTGATTGGACGAACACACGGTCCCTGCCCTCACTGAGGGAAACGGCGGGAAGGAGGAGAGACTGACCCCAGCCCCATCCTGGGTTTCAGATCCGGAAGGGGGTATCCACCTCAGCAGTGCCCTTCACTCCTCCCTCCCCGCTGCTGTCGGGCCCCCAGGAAGGAAGCCGCCACACGGTAATGTCTCCATCCGCAGCGCCCACGGAACAGGCTGCACTGGTGTGTGGGTGGGAGGTGGTGGGAGTGGGAGTGGGGTGGGGGGCCATCTGGATCCAGGTGTACCTCACCTGCTGCCCATTGCACTACCCCTCCAGAGTAAGCTTTCCCGCCACGGCAGTGGTGCCGACAGTGACTACGAGAACACGCAGAGTGGGGACCCACTGCTTGGGTGAGGCACCCTTGGGGCTCGTCCCCAGCCGCGGACCCTGCAGCCAGAACGTTTTCCCTGCTTCCACCCTGAGGGGAGGAGGCCGAGAGGGCCCCAGGGTACCCCTGAGGTGTAGGCAGGAGGCCCCACAGCCGTCTTTCTTTCCCAACCCTGGTCTCAGACTGGAAGGGAAGAGGTTTCTAGAGCTGGGCAAGGAGGAGGATTTCCACCCGGAGCTGGAAAGCCTGGATGAAGACTTGGACCCCGGGCTTCCCAGCACAGAGGATGTCATCCTAAAGACAGAGCAGGTCACCAAGAACATTCAGGAATTGTTGCGGGCTGCCCAGGAGTTCAAGCATGACAGGTATTGGTGGGGAACAAGCTTCTATTACTGGCTTCTGGGGCACTGCAGAGGGCAGAAGAGCACCCAGGGTTTCCCGTCCCCAGGAACCTTTGAGAGCCCCTCTCACTTATACCCGCCCCCTCCATCCCCCCCACAGCTTTGTGCCCTGCTCAGAGAAGATCCACTTGGCTGTAACTGAGATGGCCTCTCTCTTCCCAAAGGTACAGGGGCCAGTAACAAGAGCAGGAGTGGGAGTGCCTGGGGTGGGCCTGGCATCGTACATCTGACTGCTACCTGGGTGGAGGAACGGGCATGGTGGGCCATGATCATGGCTCACGGCTTCAACTCCAAGGCCCGGCTGCCCTCTTGTCTCCCTCCAGAGGCCAGCCCTGGAGCCAGTGCGCAGCTCGCTGCGGCTGCTCAATGCTAGCGCCTACCGGCTGCAAAGTGAGTGCCGGAAGACAGTGCCCCCGGAGCCTGGCGCCCCTGTGGACTTCCAGCTGCTGACTCAGCAAGTGATCCAGTGCGCCTACGACATCGCCAAGGCGGCCAAGCAGCTGGTCACCATCACCACCAGAGAGAAGAAGCAGTGACCACTCCTCATACCCTCACCCACACCCTGGGACCTCATCGGCCACGGGAGCTGGGCCACTCCAGACATTAATCCCCAGCCCAACAGAGCCACTGGCACAAGTGCCCTTAGTGCTGCCACACTCCCCTGGCAGCCAGGTGCCCTGGTGCCCACCCCCCCTCTAGCCCCAAGGATGGGGAGGTGGGGTGGCAGGAGCTTCTGTCCCCCACATTCCATGCACCTCTTCCCCGTACATAGCATCCCCTCCCCGTCGAGTGTGCAGGGGCTTGCAAGGTATCACTCCCGGCCCCTCGCCCTCCAGGGCACCCTCAGCAAAGGGTCAGGGTGGAGACACTCCGAGCGGGGAAGCGCCCTCTATACATACCCCACCCCCACGAGCCAGTTCAGCCCTATTGGGGGCTGAGCGGGGGCATCCCCTCCTTTGTACATAATCTCTGTGGATGTCCCTGCCCTGTAGCCACCGGCAGCCCCCCTGCTGCTCTTTCTTTAATGCCAAACGGCCCCAACCTGTGTGCCGGGGTCCCCAGCAGCGAACACTGGAAAATCTCTCCCTGCCTCTCCTCTCTCCTGCCCCTTAATTTTAACTTTGTGGTAACTGAGTGTCCCTGCGTGCCTGCGTGAGAGTGTGCGGGGCGGCAGTGCCGTTCCGGAGGCCTGGTCCTTCTGGGTTTCTGTGAGGGATGAGGGGGCCAGAGCAGTGGGACCTGCGTTGGGAATCAGCCTCCCTCTCCCCGACCCTGGGGCCAGGGAACTGCTGAGGTAACCAGCTGTGGTCCTACTGGCTGTCTTCTCTCATCTCTCCCCGCCCTCAGACCCCTTCTCTATGAGCCTAAGTGGACACTAATTCCCTCCATCTTTAGTCCCCCTTCTGGCTGGGGCTGAAAACTGAGCATCTGAGCCTGGGGCTGGCTCCCCGGGGTCCCCGACTCAGCTGGTGGGTGTGAGCCCCATTCCTATCATCTCCGAGAGGCCAGCACCCATGGTCAGCACCTGCGCCTCTGCTGTGGTCCTGCCCTTTGGAAGCTGGGCTGCAGCCTGGGAAGGCAGCACATACCAGCTCTTCTCCCTGCCCCACCTCTTCCCCAGGGGCCAGGCCGTGTCTGTGTGGTGGTGGGTGGGCTGACTGTCAAGACATGTGTCATGTACATTTGTATCAAAAATAAATAAGTGACCATGGTACTGTTTCTGATAGAATTATGGGGGTAAAGAGGGGGAGGTGACAGATAGGAAAATCTGGCAACAGCATGAAACAAATGAAGACGGACCGCCTGAAGCCCCGCACAGGGAAGTGCTGGTTTGAGAAACTCTGTCTTTTAGAAGAGAAGTTTGGAAATAACAGTGCTGTGAAGTGGGTGTTTTTTTCCACACTCTTAAAATCCTGTGTCTAAGCTCCGCTTGGCTGGTGCCCAAACGTATGGGGTCCTAGAGCCTGGACCTAGAGCCAGTGCCCTAGATGGGATCTTATCTCTGGTGGATATACAAACTCAACTCCAGACTCTACTAAAATAATTTAATCTGAAATACAGGGTATTCGGGCAGGGGTGTCTGAAACGGCCCCTCTTTCTCTCCTGGGTTGCTGCTCCTCAAATTGAGGAAGAAAGCCTCTGCCAGGCTGAGGCAGGACCGGTTCATCTGACCGCTAGGGGGCCCCCCTGCGCGCGGTACACGTGGCAGAGGTCGCGGCCTACCCACGGGAGGAGGAGCCCGCCTGCCACTGTGGCAGGACTGGGGGCGGTCAGTCCGAGCTGTCCCCCTCTGGGCCGCTGTCCGGCGTGGGTGAAAGGAGGGGTCTCCGGCGGGAGCGCTTAACGCGGCGCGGGGGCATCAGCAGCCTCCGCTTCAGCACAGCTATGGGGACGGAGTGGGGCCAGTCAAGGGCAGGGAAGCATGGGGCGGGGCGGGGCGGGGCGGGGCTGGGGAGATGGGTGGAGCCGGAGCTGCTCACCAGCCACTGTGTCTTGGCTGTCCTCCGTGGGCCCCCAGTAGATGCTGTCCCCGCGTCGGAAGTTTCGGTGCAACCGCGTACAGAGCGTGGCCAGGGTGAGCAGCACCAACAGGAAGGTCAGGGCAGTGGCAGCCCAGGCAGCCTCCTCTGTGCGTGGAGTGGGACCCCTGGCGACTCGAGGCGGCGCTGCTGCCCGAGGGGCCGGGGAAGCCTGGCTAGGACAGACACAGCCCCCTGGGCTGCCTTGCCCCTTGGGTTCCTGAGCCTCTGTCCTAGAGCTGGCATTGCCTTCAGGCCTCCCAGGCAGCAGGGGGACAATGGGCACTGACAGGCCATTACCCCCCTCACCCAGAGTGCCCAGTGTGGACTGCTTGGCCTCTGAGTTCTGTGAGGAAGCAGAGGACAGCCTTGGGACTAAGGGAGTGGGCTGGAGACCAAGGGCAGCCCGTAGTCCCCGCCTCTTGGCACCATCTGGAGAGGACTGCCTGGGCCCTCTAGGCACCACCTCTGTCCCTGGGGGCCGCCAGCTTCGCAGAGCAAAGGCCAAAGAGGAGGGCTGTGAGGAGAAGAGGCAGTGGTCACCCTTCCATGCCCACTTCCAGATAACACAATGGTACCCTTCCACCCCAACTCCCACCAACACTGGGCCCAGCACCCCTCACCTGCACACACCCTCTCCACCACAGCCGCCTTCTGCCTGGGGTTGGCACTAAGGGAGAGGGCCCAGTAAGGCCGTCAGAGTGGAACCAGCCTTTCTTCTCCCTCCGCTTCCTCCGCCGCCACCTCCTCTTCAGCCAGTGGGCGGCCCAGGCTGGCTCTACCCATGCCATCTCCAGTGCCAACCCCCACGCTGTCAGTACCAAGGGCTATGGAAAGAGGGAATTGTTAGAGCTGAGACCAGTGGGTGGCAAGCTAGAGGAAGCCCCTGGACTTTCCTTTCCTTGCAAAGTTACGCACATGGCGCTGCAGCCTTCTGTCAGTGCCTTTCATCAACCACATACCCGATCCCGAGTGAGACTGGAGTCAGGGGCCAGTGAGGGCTGTGCCACACAGACATGGGCCAGGAGGACCAGCTGGATCTTCAGCCAGGGGTGGGCACAGGGGTGATAGAGGAAGCTCACATCCTCATCCTGGAGGAGAGGTGGGGAGACATCAACCCTGGCCCAGCTCCCTCCCTAAGCATCCCAAGTTCTCCTATCCTGGGGTGGGGGACAGTTTAAAGGGACTCCCAGATGGCCCTTCCACCCTCAGGGCCCAGGAAAGAACAAAGGATCCTGGTGCTGGCATGCTCTCCCCTGCCTCTGAGTATTCTACCCCTCCTCTCCATCAAGTGCCACCACCTCAAAGCTCACAACTCCCAAGACCACATCTCTGAGTAACCTTACTGGACTCAGATCACGTTCTTTCAGTTTTGTTTCTTGGTATCTGCAACGATGGCTTTACAGGTCCCCAGTCCAGACTGTAACCTGCTATCGGGTCGATTCCAACTCATAGCTACCCCCACTGGGTTTCCAAGGTGGTAAATCTTTACAGAAATAGATTGCTTCATCTTCCTTCCGTGAAGTGGCTGGTGGGTTTGAACCACCAACTTCCTGATTAGCAGTCAAATGACTTAGGCACTGTGGCACCAGAACTCCTTAGTCTAGACTGTAAATGCCCCCAAATGAAGACCAGGTCTTCCATTTATTGATAGGGTCTATATATTCAATCTCCCAAGACCATCCAAATACAACACACACACACACACACCAGGTGCATAATCCCAGGATGGAAAGTCATATCATCAATCATTAGTTAAATATTCTTTTAAAGACATCAAAAGACATGAGCCAACTTGGTGCTCAGAGCTGTGCTAGGTGCTGTAGCAGATGTCAAAAGAGGACTAACTCCTGGACTCTGCTTGCAGAGAATGGGTAGGAAGCTCAGGCAAACAAAACCAGTGCAAATGACTGGAGTAAACTGTAGTCAATGTCATGAGAAAAAGTGTATGTGAACTATATGGAAAGTGGATTTGCTCTGTAAACTTTTACCCAAATCACAGACACACACACACACACACACACAACAAAAAAACTTGTGCAAATGAAATAGCAAACTCAACTGAAAGTGATTCCTTGTTAAATTATGAGAGCACGGTCATGAGCAATACAGGAATTCAGAGAAGGAGGTGATGAAGGATAGCTGACGTGGTCAGGGAAGGTTCCAAAGGAGCACTGACCCCTGCACTAAGCAATGAAGATGCATGGGGCTAGATGGGGGAGGGGAGGGAGCGGCACACTTCAGGTGAGGATAGGCCAGGTGTGGAGGAGAATAAACAGGAGCAAAGTTGCAGAGGTGAGAATAAGCCTGGCACTCAATGTGTGTGGTGAGAAGACTAACATGATAGAGAAGAACCAAGGTTCTGGAGGGGTCAGTTGAGGCTCATTCAACTAGGGCCTACTAGTGGTGCAGTGGTTAAAGCATTTGGCTGCTAACCAAGAGGTCAGCAGCTTGAACCCACAAGCTGCTCCATGGGAGAAAGATGAGGCAGTCTGTTCCCATAAAGATTACAGCCTTGGAAACCCTATGGGGCAGTTCTACTCTGTCCTATAGGGTCACTGTGAGTTGGAATCAACTTGATGTCAGTGGGCTGGGTTTGGTTTATAAAGGCAGGTAGGGGAGTAGGGCCACGATAAGGAGGGAAAATGAGTCATGAAAGTTTCAGAAGAGTGGCTGACTTGATGAAAGGGCTGTTTGAGGAATGGAATCAGGTAGGCGGCATGAAGCAATGTCTCTTGGCCTGGAGCTATGACAGAAGATCAAAAATTACAGATTTCAAAGGAAAATCCAGACAGACAGAGAAGACATCTGACCACTGATAAAGAGGACAGTGAGGCAGTCATCCAAGTGGAGCCCCAGTTTGGACTCTGGTAATGGGAAGCACATGGGATCACCATGAGTTGGAATCACTTGACCACTACTAACAAACCTGAAGCACACTCCTTACGCATACACCTTTGTACTTTTCAAGATGCTGTTACTTCCTTCAATTCTTCCAGGTAGGAACAGTATTAATATCTTCTCTTACAGAAAACTGAGGCCTTGAGAAGTCAGGAGACTTCCCACAGTACCTGGGAGAGTTAAGACATGGAATTGTTTTTTTTTCCTACTACCTTCACTTCCATTTGCTGCCACTTGCCCACACATGGCTACCGGGTAGCTTTCCTCCCACACCACTACAGAGGACAGAGGCCCAAAGCTCACCTATATCTGTTTAGTCCTCGGACTAGGGCCAGGTGGGAGACTAGGAACATTGCCTCTTCCTGAGGGAAGAGATAAGGAACCGAGCTCTTGAGCAAAAGAGTTGGAGGAAGCCTGCAACGTGCTGGCTTTCTCTAAGCACAGCACCCAAAGATGGGTCCCTGCTTGTACTTACCAGCCCTGAGTTCATCCGTGCATATGTCACTCGTGGTGACGCCTGTACATGGGGAAAGAAGAGAGCTTAGGGCAGCTAGGGGATTCTGTGTGAAGGATGAGGAGAGGACGGTGGGCGCAAAGCATCAGGTTGGGATGGAAACGTTAGCGACTAGGGCAGAAAGCACTGGTCCCCAGAGGGTGACTGACTATGTAGGATACAGCGAGGCTACAGCGGGAGGGAGTTACCCCTTCAGCAACCCCTTTTCTCCCGGCTCTGCAAGACTCCTACCTGTGGGGGCAGAAGCCATGGGCCCTCGGGACAACCGGCTTCTGCCTCCTCTGCGGGCCTAGGCACAACCTGTGGGTCCAAGGCGCAAAGCTGGAGCGCTAGTCTCAGCGAGGGCCCTGCCCGTCTCTCCCCAGGCCCAGCCCGCCACGGTGGGACTTTTAGTCCCTTCTCCGCGGGCCACTCCTTCCAGGACTAACTTTGGGCAAAGCGCGCTCTGAGATCCCAGGCCACAGCCTTCTCAGGCACAGTCAGCTTACCTCTCTAGGACCCAGGAGCCCCACCAGGGCGACCAGAAGGAGCAACTGGGGCGAAGGCCGAGGAGGCGCCATCCCAGCCGGCCCCCGGCCGGGTCCAC